TTGTAGAGTTATGGGGGAATGTTTGTGAGCTGTTGTGAGTTGTAGAGTTATGAGGAATGTTTGTGAGCTGTTGTGAGTTGTAGAGTTATGAGGAATGTTTGTGAGCTTTGGAGTTGTAGAGGTATGAGGAATGTTTGGAGCTGCTGTGAGTTGTAGAGTTATGAGGGAATGTTTAGAGCTGTTGTGAGTTGTAGAGGTATGAGGAATGTTTGTGAGCTGTTGTGAGTTGTAGAGTTATGGGGGAATGTTTGGAGCTGTTGTGAGTTGTAGAGTTATGGGGAATGTTTGTGAGCTGTTGTGAGTTGTAGAGTTATGAGGGAATGTTTGTGAGCTGTTGTGAGTTGTAGAGTTATGAGGGAATGTTTGTGAGCTGTTGTGAGTTGTAGAGGTATGAGGAATGTTTGTGAGCTGCTGTGAGTTGTAGAGTTATGAGGAATGTTTGTGAGCTGTTGTGAGTTGTAGAGGTATGAGGGAATGTTTTGAGCTGTTGTGAGTTGTAGAGTTATGAGGGAATGTTTGGAGCTGTTGTGAGTTGTAGAGGTATGAGGAATGTTTGTGAGCTGTTGTGAGTTGTAGAATTATGGGGAATGTTTGTGAGCTGTTGTGAGTTGTAGAGTTATGAGGAATGTTTGTGAGCTGTTGTGAGTTGTAGTTGTGAGAAATATGTTTTCTTATTCTTGTTGAACCATTGGCTGTAGTAATTGATGACGTCACTGTTGATGGTTGCTATTATTATTATTATTATTATTATTATTATTATTATTATTATTATTATTATTATTATTATTATTATTATCGTCGTCGTTGTTACTGTTATTATCATTATTGTTATTATTATTACCCATTATTTTTATTATTATCATTACTGTTGTTTTTGTTGTTGTTTAATTTACTGACTCGACTCAGGTAAATAATCAGGTTAATTACCACATAATATACTGAAGCAGGTGCCACTTGTTTCATATTATTGCTTCAGAAAACAACAGGTAAAGTAAGGATTCATTTTGGTTTACTAATGAAGTTAATGATGGTGAGATTAACACCAATGAAGTTAATGATGGTGAGTAACACCAATGAAGAATGATGGTGAGATTAACACAATGAAGAATGATGGTGAAATTAACACCAATGAAGTTAATGATGGTGAGATTAACCAATGAAGTTAATGATGGTGAGATTAACACCAATGAAGTTAATGATGGTGAAGTTAATCCGTAGTAAAGTCAAGTGAAAGTGAATTTAACTCAATATATGATAACAAGGGGGATTAAATACAATATTTATCTAGTGGTTTGCCCTAAAGACCTTAGAGAGAGAGAGAGAGAGAGAAAAGAGAGAGAGAGAGAGAGAGAGAGAGAGAGGCACACACATTTAGAAAGGCATATATATAGTGTATATTGAGAGAAACACACACACACACACACACACACACACACACACACACATATATTTAGAGAGAAAGAAAAATAGAGAGGAAAAGAGAGAGAGAGAGAGAGAGAGAGAGAGAGAGAGAGAGAGAGAGAAAAATAGTGATAGAGAGAGAAAGAGAGAGAAGAAAAGCAGTGACAGAGAGAGAAAGAGAGAGAGACGATGAATCAAGCCAGATGCCTCCAGATGTCACCAAACCGATTATTCTTGTCATCTTAAATTTTATCCGCATAATTGAATTTCCTGTGAGGTGAATGTGTATGGTGGTGTGTGTGTATGTATGTGTGTGTGTGTGTGTATAGTGTGTGTATGTGTGTGTGTGTGTATAGTGGTGTGTGTGTATAGGGATGTATGTGTGTGTGTATGGTGGCGTGTATGTGTGTGTGTGTGTGTGTATAGTGGTGTGTATGTGTGTGTGTGTATAGTGGTGTATGAGTAGTGATGTTTTGTTTCTTTCTTCTATTTGAAAATCTCTCTCTCTCTCTCTCTCTCTTATAAAGCAAGTATTGACTACAGTGGGTGGAGAGGGACTGGTCTTGTAGCCTCTGCGTGGGGTCGTGTAGGCTTGATGCTTTTGTGGTGTCGAACAGTAATATGTGGACGAGGGACCTGAGGTGGCAGAAGGTGGCGGCGTCAGAGAGAGCTATGAGAGCCAGTGTGTTAAGGGCCTCAGGGTAGGTGGGTTTTGGTAGCACTATAACACCGTCGTCGTGATGGTCAACAGTGGCAGGAACCCATGGCTGTGTCTACTGAACGCATGGGTGTGTGTACTGAACCCATAGCTGTGTGTACTGAACCCATGGCTGTGTGTACTGAACCCATTGCTGTGTGTACTGAACCCATGGCTGTGTATATTGAACCCATGGCTGTGTGTACTGAACCCATGGTCTGTGTACTTAACCCTCACTTGTTAGATCTTCTGAATAGGTTCAACATTGTTTTCATTCCTTATTGAATTGGAATTATCCCATCTGTATCAGCCACTGGTGTGTGTGTGTGTGTGTGTGTGTGTGTGTGTGTGTGTGTGTGTGTGTGTTATAAGTAACGTGTGTTTGTCTATAAGAAGTAGTGCCACAAAGGTGATAATATTTGATAGTGTGTATTTTGTCAGACCTTTTTAAGTAATTTAAATCTGTACTTATGTTTATTATTATTATTATTATTATTATTATTATTATTATTATTATTATTATCAACATGTCATTATCGTTATCAATATCATTATTATCATTAGTCTGGCTATCATTCCTCCAAGGACAAGTTCTCTACCGCCACTTGCCTGAAACTCACTAGTCTTCACGTGACGTCAAACTCTGTTTACTCCGCCATGTTGGAGGTCAGTCGGCCGACACGATACCACTGAACTGGAAGAGGTATTCGTCGTCATTCACCCGTATAATGCTGTATTGTACCTCCCCTACTTGTGAATATAAAGGGCAGAGTCCTGCTGGTGGTGTTGCAGTCACAATAGACGTCTTGTGTTGTCGGTATTCCAATGTTGATACAAATAGACGCTGTTGTGGTGAGGTGTGTAAACTACCCCAGTGGGAGAGTATGAAAGACGTGTGGTGGGACGGCCAGAAGTGTCAGGTGGCAGATCAACAATGAGGAGAGTTGCAACTTAATATTAATAGCGATCTAAGTATACTGAGTCAGGTAACAGTGCCTAAAGGCATATCAAGGATCCAGGAAAACTATGGAGAGAGAGAGAGAGAGAGAGAGACCTGCAGGACGGCGTCTTAAACACTAGTGACGTCACCTTGATCGCGTGATAGAAAACATCTCATCTTTTCATCTTTGAGCAAAAAATAATAAAGAAAAACATCTACATCTTTTTTTTTCTGTTTATAATTTATGTTGATTAAATAAAGGTCACTAATGGGGTAAATTTTCTGAGTCTGTCAGCATACACCTGTGAGGACCAGGTATGACAATATATGACAAGGTATGGCAAGATATGAAATTATGACAATATGTGACAAAGTAGGGCAAGATATGACAAGTTATGACAATTTATGGCAAGATATGATATTATGACAAGGTATGAGAAAGTATGCCCAGGTATGACCAAGTAGAACTAGGTAATGAGCAGGTATAACAAGCTAAGGACCAGATATATGACATATTACCATCAGTTATGACATGACATGACATGACCGGGATAATAAAAAACAAATCGTGTCACGTCATATAAACTAGACTATACACATTTTTGGCCAGAAATTTACCAGATTCCTTTTATTTATTTATTTTTTCTGTCTGAACAACTTATAAACTCGTGTGGACAGCTGTATCTCCCAGCTGCCAGGGTACATTAAGAGTCCTGGTCAATATCTTCATTTGGTCAATATCTAGTACACGATATCTGTTGACCCATTTTGTAGAGGTTAGATTAGGTTAGGGTCAGGTTAGGTTAGGTTAGGTTTTGTTACTAGAGGTTAGGTTAGGTCAGGTCGGGATTAGGTCATGTGCTCATTCAAGATTAAGAGAGGTTAGGTTAGGTCAGGTCAAGTTAGGTAAGGTCAGGTCTTGTTAGGCTAGGTCATTGATAACAGCAGTAACGTATAAACGCCACGCACCTGTCATTATTATAAGGTAAATATCCACTAATGACACACAGGTATGGTAATGACTGGACACGAACACATGACATATATAATACATAATGGTGAAGACATACAGACGCACACGGTATATATCTATAGATCTAGACACACACACACACACACACACATACACACTCACTGCACGCACGCACACACACACACACACACACACACACACACACACACACACACACACACACACACACACACGCACGCACTCACACACACACACACACACACACACACACACACACACACACACACACACACACGCACACACACACACACACACACACACACACACACACACACACCATCCATTGGGTAACTCCAGGGACTATTGAGAAGTTATTTTTGTGTAATAGTGATTTATCTACCCGTTCATATATCACCGAGTACCTCCTCCATCACCACCTTCCCTACCACCACTACTATCACAATCCCTACCACTATTACCACCACAATACAACACAACACCGCAGTAGAATACAGTATAGTACAACACAGCAGGACATCACAACACAGCAGCATAACACAGCACTACAACACAACACAGATCAGCAGCACAGTAGAGCACAGCACAACAATACAACACAACACAGTAGAGTACAACACAACACAACACAGCACAACACAACAACAACACAACACAGCACAGCACAACACAACACAGCACAACACAACACAACACAACAGCCGTGGTAACAGAGGCTGGGGCATCAGATGCTACACAAACAAGCTTACTCCTGTAATCCTGACCAGACTTCCCGCTCATCAGTGTGTGTGTGTGTGTGTGTGTGAGGAACCTCCAGTGTTACTCATGGCTGTGTTTGTCTCATGAAATGTCATGTAGGGAGTAAATTGATATTGGCAGCGTGGGAAGGGTTAGGTGAATCTATCTATCTATGACTCCCTGGGTGGGTGTTTTCGTCTGAGGGGACCATACCTGCGTTAGATGGCCAGTACCTGGCGTTAACACTGTCTAAGGTCCTGGTCCCAAAACATCCAGTCTCTTTACTTCCTCCAGCGGTCTTAGCTAGACGTCCACCGGCTACTGGCTGGCCATCATGCTGGAAAAGGAGCGCCATTTGGTGTCCCTCCACCGGGCTAAGGATACCTTCTTGTACCACAGCTCCTGCGGCCAAGGAGAGGGTATCCTCCATTACATCAAGGGGCTCTGCGTGCGTCACTCACTGGCCTTACTTGAGTTGGTGTGTCGCCACCCAGACCTCACTGCTGAAGAGTTTAAGTTTTTCTTCCTTCAACAACTCGGGTACCAGAGCGACCTCCAAGTGGTGTCCCGAGGGAGCGTCTGGTGGCCGAGCTGCCGGAGGAGTTCACCTTCGTCAACTCTTGCTGGGAGGGCCTGAGGACAACACATCTTCAGTGTGTGATAACCTCCCCTGTCGGTGGTACTGAGTCTGCCTCCCCCTACCACTAATCACTGCCTCCCCTAAACACTGCTTCCACAGATAAGAAGAGAGAGAGAGAGAGAGGAGAGAGTGAGATTATTATTATTATATATATATATATAAATATTATTATTATTGTTGTTTTTAGTAGTAGTAGTAGTCAATAAGCTCGGCCTGATTCTCAGCAGGGTTAAACTATGGGCAAGTTTTTACGTCTTTGCCTCTGTCTACCCGGCAGTAATTGGGGACCTGGATGTTAATCGATTTGTGGATCGTGTTCCGGGGTAATGGTTAGCCAGTGCAGTTGGCGAGTTGTCCGGTGTTTGGGGTTATTCCTGGACATAGAGATAAAGACAGTTTTCCATTTGACTCTTTTATTAATACAGATTATATCTATATAATTTAGCTTCTCATATGATTGTTTTGAGTTGATTTAACGTGGATTAACATCATTTAATCTCTCATGTGACCTGATGCAATTTAATTTCTCACATGACTTTGTTTTGGTACACAGAGATTAATATACTTAACCTTCTCATTTGACATTTCACACACACACACACACACACACACACACACACACACACACACACACACACACACAACACACACAGTTTTCACTATGTTACCTCCGCTTCATCAGGTTGAGGTATATTGCAATAAGCGGCAGTTTAGATCTTGTTGACTTGTATGGCAACACAACTGGTTTATTATGCTGCAATGTGTTGATACTGCATTGTTGTAATATAGTAGTAGTGCAGTATAATAATATAGTGTGTTTTATGGTGCTCTGTTAGATTTTAACTTGGGTGTGTGTTGTATGGTGATGTATTATGCTTCAGTGTGTTGTATGGTGTTGTATTATGCTTCAGTGTGTTGTATGGTGTTGTATTATGCTTCAGTGTGTTGTATGGTGTTGTATTATGCTTCAGTGTGTTGTATGGTGTTGTATTATGCTTCAGTGTGTTGTATGGTGTTGTATTGTGCTTCAGTGTGTTGTATGGTGTTGTATTATGCTTCAGTGTGTTGTATGGTGTTGTATTATGCTTCAGTGTGTTGTATGGTGTTGTATTATGCTTCAGTGTGATGGTGTTGTATTATGCTTCAGTGTGTTGTATGGTGTTGTATTATGCTTCAGAGTGTTGTATGGTGTTGTATTATGCTTCAGTGTGTTGTCTGGTGTTGTATTGTGCTCTGCGTGTTGTATGGTGTTGTATATGTGCTGTATGGTGTTATATTATGCTTCAGTGTGTTGTATGGTGTTGTATTATGCTTCAGTGTGTTGTATGGTGTTGTATTATGCTTCAGAGAGGCGGTGTTGTATTATGCTTCAGTGTGTTGTATGGTGTTGTATTATGCTTCAGTGTGTTGTGTGGTGTTGTATTATGCTTCAGTGTGTTGTATGTGTGTTGTATTATGCTTCAGTGTGTTGTATGGTGTTGTATTATGCTTCAGTGTGTTGTATGGTGTTGTATTATGCTTCAGTGTGTTGTATGGTGTTGTATTATGCTTCAGTGTGTTGTATGGTGATGTATTATGCTTGTGTGTCGGTTGTATTGCTCAGTGTTGTATGTGTTATCTGTTGTATGGTGTTGTATTATGCCAGTGTGTTGTATGGTGTTGTATTATGCTTCAGTGTGTTGTATGGTGTTGTATTATGCTTCAGTGTGTTGTATGGTGTTGTATTATGCTTCAGTGTGTTGTATATGGTGTTATTATGCTTCAGTGTGTTGTTGGTGTTGTATTATGCTTCAGTGTGTTGTATGGTGTTGTATTATGCTTCAGTGTTGTGGTGTTGTATTGTGCTTCAGTGTGTGTTGTATGGTGTTGTATTATGCTTCAGTGTGTTGTATTATCCAGTGTGTTGTATGGTGTTGTATTGTGCTTCAGTGTGTTGTATGGTGTTGTATTGTGCTCAGTGTGTTGTATGGTGTTGTATTGCCTCGTGTGTTGTATGGTGTTGTGTATTGTGCTTCAGTGTGTTGTATGGTGTTGTATTATGCTTCAGTGTGTTGTATGGTGTTGTATTATGCTTCAGTGTGTTGTATGGTGTTGTTTCAAGGTATGGTGTTATATTATGCTTCAGTGGTGAGGTGTTTATTATGCTCAGTGTGTTGTGGTTAAGTGAGTGTTGTATGGTGTTGTATTATGCTTCAGTGTGTTGTATGGTGTTGTATTATGCTTCAGTGTGTTGTATGGTGTTGTATTGTGCTTCAGTGTGTTGTATGGTGTTGTATTGTGCTTCAGTGTGTTGTATGGTGTTATTATGCTTCAGTGTGTTGTATGGTGTTGTATTGTGCTTCAGTGTGTTGTATGGTGTTGTATTGTGCTTCAGTGTGTTGTGGGTGTTGTATTATGCTTCAGTGTATAAGGTGTTATATTATGTCAGTGTGTTGTATGGTGTTATATTATGCTTCAGTGTGTTGTAGGTGTGTATTATGCTTCAGTGTGTTGTTGTTGTATTATGCTCAGAGTTGTATGGTGTTGTATTATGCTTCAGTGTGTTGTATGGTGTTGTATTATGCTTCAGTGTGTTGTATGGTGTTGTATTGTGCTTCAGTGTGTTGTGTAATGGTGTTGTATTATGCTTCAGAGTGTTGTATGGTGTTGTATTATGCTCAGTGTGTTGGTGGTGTGTATTATGCTTCAGTGTGGTGGTGTTGTATCAGTGTATGGTGTTGTATTATGCTCAGTGTGTTGTATGGTGTTGTATTATGCTTCAGTGTGTTGTATGGTGTTGTATTATGCTTCAGTGTGTTGTATTATGCTTCAGTGTGTTGTATGGTGTTGTATTATGCTTCAGTGGTTGTATGGTGTTGTATTATGCTCAGTGTGTTGTATGGCATATTATGTCAGTGTGTTGTGCGGTGTTGTATTATGCTTCAGTGTGTTGTATGGTGTTGTATTATGCTTCTGTATATTCAGTGTGTTGTATGGTGTTGTATTATGCTTCAGTGTAGGGTGTTGTATTGTGCTTCAGTGTGTTGTAGGTGTGTATTATGTGTTGTATATCGTATGTTGTATTTGCTTCAGTGTGTTGTAGCTCAGGGTGTGATTAGCTTCAGTGTGTTGTATGGTGTTGTATTATGCTTCAGTGTGTTGTATGGTGTTGATGCTTCAGTGTTTTGTATTATGCTTCAGTGTGTTGTATGGTGTTGTATTATGCTTCGGTGTGTGTATTATGCTTCAGTGTGTTGTATGGTGTTGTATTATGCTTCAGTGTGTTGTATTATGCTTCAGTGTGTTGTATGGTGTTGTATTATGCTTCAGTGTGTTGTATTATGCTACCTTTGTCTTTGAGCTAAATTTCTTGCTGCATTTTCCTATTATTTGTGAATTTTTTCGGTACAAGTCGGTATATTTATGTATGTTTCGGTCAATATATCCGTTTAATCCGTAATTTTGTGTATATTTCTCTGGTTTTCTGTATTTTTGCGTATTTTTGCGTATTTCCGTATACTTTCGCATATTTATATACAGTATATTTCCGTATATCTTTGTTTATTTCTCAACTAATTCCGTATCGTTGCGTATAATTCTGTATTTTTGTCATATTTATGTAAATTTATGTATATTTTTGTATAGTTCCGTATATTTATGTATGACTCCGTATTTCATCACTATTACATTACAGGCAGGTTCAACTCACAGGGTTCAGTTCTCAGTGTTCAGTTCTCAAAAGATTCAGTTCTCAAAGGATTCAGTTGTCAGAGGATTCAATTCTCAAAGGGTTCAATTCTCAAAGGGTTCGGTTCTCGAAGGGTTCAATTCTCAAAGGGTTCAAATTCTCAGTGGTCAGTTTTTCAAAGGGTTCAATTCTCAAAGGGTTCAGTTCTCTGGGATCGAACAGCAAGGTTAAAAAAGTTGATTTCGAGAGTGGCTGTTGATGAGAGTAGATGGTAGATTTGTTTACAGGTAATTGAGGGTAGATTAGATCAGGATAATTATAGGTAGAATAATTAAAGGTGATTGATGGAAGATTATATCAAGGTAAATACTGTAGATTATATCAGGATAATTATAGGTAGATTATATGAAGTAATTAGGTAGATTATGTAAAGTAATTAGATAGATTATGTAAAGGTAATTATAGATCTTTTATGTAAAGATAAATGAGGAGAAATTTCCAAACGTGTTGGGGAATATCTAGGGAAACACAGGGTAACAAACTGAAATACATAGACAAACGCAAACAAACTGATATACTGTATATATAAAGAGAAACAAACAAACTGAAATCCAAACAAACACAAGCAAACAAACTGGCATAAACAGAAAAACAAACAAGCTGAAATATATAGAAAAACAAACAAATAAACACCAAAATACAAAAAAAAAATGAAAAAATGATAACAATAAATGAAAGAAAACAGGAAACTGATGGCAAAAGTTACTAAAGAAAACTTAATTAGGGTGATACTTTAGAAAGTTTAATAGGGCGGTGGTGAGCGGGGCGGAGGCTGACCTATAGCATTAAGCTTCCCGTATGACCAGGTAACCTCCCCAGCCCACCTGTAATTACGGTCATTATCACAGCAGCTATTACGGCCAGCATTAGAATATTCTCCTGGGAACATTACACCTGCGTGATGCCCGACATGCAAGGCCTCCTCCCACTCCCCCCCCTCTATCTCTCCCCGCCATGTCTGTCATGCAGGAAACTTACTTCTCCTCCCTCCTTGTCTGTCATGCAAGGAGAGGGGGACCTTTTGTTATGCATGGAGGGTACCTGAGCCTGTCATGCATTGAGG